AGGTGGGGTGCTGTTGACCTCAACCGGTGATGTTGTTGGGAGGTGGAAGGAATACTTTTTGGACCTTCTCAATCCCACCAGCACATCTTCCATGGAGGAAGCTGAGTCGGGGGACTTTGGGGTTGATCCGTGCATAACTTGCTGAGATCGTCAAGGTAGTTAAAATGCTCGGAGGTGGCAGGGTTCCGGGATTGGATGAGATTCACCCTGATTTCCTTAAGTCTGTGGATGTGGGGCTGTCTTGGTTGACACGCCATTGAAACGTCACATGGATATTGAGGGCAGTACCACTGGATTGGCAGACTGGGGTGGTGGTTCCCCTCTTCAAAAAGGGGGACCGGAGGGTGTGCTCCAATTATAGGGGCATCACTCTCCTTAGCCTCCCTGGCAAGGTCTATTCAGGGCTGCTGGAGAAGCGAGTCCGATCACTGGTCAAACCTCAGATCCAGGAGGAACAATGTGGGTTCTATCCTCGCCGTGGAACACTAAATCAGCTCTTTACCCTCACTAGGGTCCTCGAGGGGCCATGGGAGTTTGCCCATCCAGTCTACATGTGTTTTGTGGACTTGGAAAATGCATTCGACCGTGTTCCTCAGGGTACACTGTTGGGGGTGCTCCATGAGTATGGGATTAGGGGCCCGTTGTTACAGACTGTCCAGTCCCTATACAATCAATCAATTAATCAACTTTATTTCTCTAGCCTGATGCATGCTTAATAATCCAGGTAGAAAAATCTAAAAAAGTTAAGTCTGGTCCTCTGGACACTCAAAAAACAAACCAAAGCAAAAACAACAACAACAAAAATGTAGAACCGTTTCGTCTTCCATCCAAAAGACTTCCTCAGTCTGAGGTGCTGTATTCAGCTCAGTCTTATAAGTAGCACCTTCTCAGAGTGGATCAACCAGTTTGCTGCTGACAACCAAAACCAGCTGCAGCAAAACTGGTTGATCCACTCTGAGAAGGTGCTACTTATAAGACTGAGCTGAATACAGCACCTCAGACTGAGGAAGTCTTTTGGATGGAAGACGAAACGGTTCTACATTTTTGTTTTTGCTTTGGTTTGTTTTTTTTTTGAATGTCCAGAAGACCAGATTTAACTTTTTTAAATTATTTCTACAGCACATTTTAAAAACCGCAGGAGTAGCCAAAATGCTGTACAGTAAGACAAAAAAAAAAAGATTAAGACAATAAAAAACAAAGCATACACAAAGAAACATAAAAACATACACATATCAGTTTCATAGCAGGTGTGTTTTAAATGCCATAAAAGATAAGATCACATGTTAAAAGCCAAATAATAAAATTGTGTTTTTTAAAAAGAGATTTAAAAACAGGAAGAGAGGAGGCCTGTCTGACACTCAAGGGTAAATTGTTCCATAACCTGGGAGCAACAACAGCAAAAGCTCTGTCACCTCTGAGCTTCATCCTAGTTTTAGGGACTGTCAGCAGCAGCTGATCAGCTGATCTTGACTGGGGAGGGCAGTTAGGCTGAAGCAGCTCAGACAGATATGGTGGGACAAGGTTGTTCAGGCATTTATAAACAAACAGCAAAAACTTAAAATTAATTCTATAGTGCACTGGTATCCAATGAAGGGACGCCAGGATGGGAGTAATATGCTCGTGCCTACGGGCCAGAGTTAACAGGCGAGCAGCAGAGTTCTGCACAAGCTGCAGACAGGCAAGAGAGGTCTGGCTAATACTTGCATACAGTGCATTACAGTAGTCGAGACGAACTGTGAAACAAGCGGTGCGAGAGTTTGGTTCGCATTGCCATAGTAAGTCGGACCCCTTCATGGTGGGAGTTGGACTCCGCCAGGGCTGGCTATTGTCACCGATTCTGTTCATAACTTTTATGGACAGAATTTCTCGGTGCAGCCAGTTGGCGGAGGGATTCCAGTTAGGTGGCCTCAGGATTCCATCTCTGCTCTTTGCAGATGATGTGGTCCTGTTGG